TTACCAGGTACTTCTGGATATGGTGGCAAATGTCTTTAATCTCAACAGAGGCAGGCAGATCTCTAAGACCAACCTACTCCACATAGTAAATTCCAGGCCAACCAAGGCTACATAGTGAGACCCTGTCTCCAAAAACAAACAAGGGGGCGGGATGAGCAACTAACCAGAGGAACAAAAGCTTTTAGAAATTCTCAGAGAGGAAAAATGAAACTTCTACAGTATAGCAGTATTTTAAAAAAAATTTATGAATAATCATATTCTTTCCATATATAGGTATAAAAATCATATTTCTGCATATGTATGGTTACCTTTTCTTTTGGTAAGTTCTTGAATGCTGTGCTGTATTACTATAACAGTCAATATTTACATTATATTTGCATCAGATTGAATGAAGAGAGGTGATGTTAACATACAAGTTAAACCTTCAATTATGGATCATAACTTGAAGTACATATCAAATATCTATTCTTTATGTTAATATGCTCAATCCAGCAAAAGTTTACCTTCAGCCTGGTCTCCAGAGCAAGTGCCAGGATGGGCTCCAAAGCTACACAGAGAAACCCTTGTCTTGAAAAACCAAAAAAATAAAAAGTTTACCTTCACAGTTTCTAAATTCTCTTAACCTCTGAGACATCTCTCCAGCCCCTTCTGTAGACTATTCTAATTATGTCATAAAGATGGACTACAGCGCCAGGGAGATGGCTCAACAGGTGAAAGCTCTTACCGTGTAAACTGACTTCTAAATTCAGTCCCCACAACCCCGGGTAGTAGGACAGACCTGACCTCTATAGCAGGCTGTAGCACCTTCCTCAATCATGTACAAAATTAGTGTAAATAAATAAAATCCAAATGGACTCAAAGTGTTTGTCTTTGTGACTACCTTGTTTTACTGAGCAGAGAATCTCCAAGTTTTACATAGTATAGTTTGTGTCCAAATTTCAAAAACAAAAAACAAAAACAACCTAGTTTCAGAAAGAACAGTTTCAAGTAATACAGCAAAATTCAGTAGATTGTACAGAGGTTTCCTACTGGTCTCCTAGCCTTAATAGTTTGCCCACCTCTCTGTCAGCATCTTGTAGGATGGCTATACATTGGTCATAAGGATGTGTTCACATGTCATTATCACCCAGAGACTATGGTCCTATACCTTATGGTCCTTTCTATGAATTTGAACAAATGAATAGTGACAATTTAGTGAAAGTCCGATGTGCTCTGCCTGTTCATCCCTCTTACCCCCAGTCCTCGGAAATCCTACTCCTTTCACTGTCTACATAATTTTGTCTTTTCTAGAAGGTTCTATAGTTCTAATCATATAGTGTATGATCTTTCAGACTGGCTCTCACATAGTAATAACTATGTAATTTATTTTCATGTCTTGGGAACTCATCTGGAATTTAATATGTAGACCAGACTGGCCTCAGACTTGCGATGTTTCTGTCTCTGTCTCCTAAGTGTAAGATGATAGGTCTGTTCCACCATGCCTAGCTCAATGACCCATTTCTTTCTAGTGCTGAACAATATTTCATTGTCCAGATGAACAAAACTTTTGTATCCAGTCACTTATTGAAGGACATCTGGTAGCATCCAAGTTCTAGCAGTTGCAAACAAAGTTGCTGTAAACATTTGCGTGTGGATTGTGTTGTAGATGTAGGTTGTCATCTCCTTTGACTAAATACCAAGGCATTAATTATGGGATCATTTGGTTGGTGTGTTTTTTGAGTTTTGGGAGAAACTGCTAGACTGTCTTTGAAAGTGACTACCCAGCAATGAATGAGTGAGTGTTCCCATAGCAAACCCTTAGCAGCATTTAGTTTTGCCACTGTTTGTGGAGTCTTTTGTGCGTGTGATTTTATTGCTCATGTACACAGAGAATTTATACCACTAGAGCAGAGGCTGTGGAATCTCATATTTCCAAATGGGCGGGAGGACACATTTAGTCTTAGAGTGAGGAGCCAATTGGTGAATTCTGCTCTCTGTCACAACCAGGCTGAATTTAGCATCCTGACCCTTTCTGTTCCTCTCAGGGTACTTTTGGACAGTGACTGCTTTCTTAATCAAATGGTAGAGATCCTCGGGGAGATCAGGGGCAAGGCCTTTGGACTTAGAAGATTCTCGAGATTTTATTACCAGTCACAAAATGGACCTGTGCCACACCATGTGAGTCCCTCCTATTTGGGAGGAAGTCAGGCCTTTCTTGGCTAGTTTGTAAATCTGTTTCTTCAGATGTCAGCTTCAGCCAGGTGGAGACACTAAGGCTGTAGGGCAGAGCCTACTGGGGCAGGCCCTTCCCGGGAGCATGCATACAACTCATGATGGCAGAGGTCTGGCAGCAAAGAGAAGGCGGGAGCTGTTTGTGGAGTTTTACCCATGCAATAGCTATATAGCTGTATGTTACTGTGGTTTATTGGGCAGTTCCATAGCAACATGATGTTCAACACTTTTTCATATGCTTGGTGAGGTGTCGTTTTGACCGTTTTTAAAATGGGTTGGTTATATTCCTATTGTTGAGTTTTAGTTACTTTTTAATTTTGAACAGCAGTCCTTTATTTGTTGGCAAATTCTTTTCCCTGTTCTGGACTTATTTTCTTGACAGTGTATTATTACTAATGTGTGACCTCGTAGGGAGATGTAAGCAAATATCTATTCACTCCAGATAGGGCACCAACAATAAACCAGAGACATGATTCCACCCAAGTCTAGCTTGGTGAGCCAGTGAATTTATTGGGGTTACTTATAGGAGTATGGGTGAGAACGGGTGTCACAGAGCAGGCAACTGAAAGGTCACTGTGTCACTGAGAAGCCTGCTGTGGTGTGGATGGTGATTCATGAAAGCTGCATCCCTTAGCTCCTGGCTCAACTTGCAGGCTCCATTGAAGAACTTCCTGTTCCTCAGCAATTATGACTACTCACTAATGTAACCTCAGAGAGGGAGCTTGTGAGTCCTGTAACTTTCTGAGCCTCCTTGAATTTCCAAGTTTCCTGAGCTTCCACATTTTGATTAGTCTAGAAGCAACTCTGTTCCCCACAGGAGGGAAAGTTTTGATTCAAAGGGACTAGCTACCTAATGCCTAATATGTTCAAAGAGCAAAATGTTAATTGTTTTTTAATGTGTGTGGGCTTTTGTCTGCCTGTATGTTGTGTAGTATCCTCAGAAGCCACAAGGGGAAGTCAGATCCCCGTAACTGTAGTTACAGATAGTTGTTAGCCTGCAACTAGTTGTAGGTGCCTGGAGCTGAACCTGGATCCTCTGGAAGAAAATCTAGCGCCCCTAACCACTGAGCCATTTCTTTTTCCTTTTCTTTTTTCTTTTTTTTTTTTTTTTTTGGTTTTTCGAGACATGGTTTTTCTGTGTCTTTGGAGGCTGTCCTGGAACTAACTCTTGTAGACCAGGCTGGCCTTGAACCCACAGAGATCCAGCTGCCTCTGCCTCCCGAGTGCTGGGATTAAAGGCGTGAGCCACCAACGCCCAGCTGAGCCATTTCTTTTAACACTGAATAAGTCTATGGATTTCAGGCCAGCCTCAAAAAAAGGTAATATTCAATTTAGAGTCCTGTTGTTTATTTTTTTGAGACAGAATTTCTCAATGTAGTCCTGACTGCCCTAGAAATAGCTTTGTAGACAGGCTGTCCCCCCTGCTTCTAAGTGTGGGCATTAAAGGCGTGCGCCACCAAGCCTTGCATGCAGGAGCCCTTTATGTATTCAGGCCTTTGGTTCCTTCATAAGAGTTGTGTAATTTTCCTCATACAGATTTCTTTTTTTAAAGGATAGAACTAAGTTCAAGAGATTTATTGTACAACATGGTGACTACAGTTCATGACTAAAATTAAATGCTTTCATTTCCAAACTGATACCTGTATGAGGTAATGTATATTTTAACTAGCTAGATTTTACCATTCCATAATGTATATATACTTTACTCTCCCCCCCCCCCCCCCCCCCCCCCCCCCCCCCCCCCAACCACCCCCCCCCCCACCCCCCCCCCTCTCCGCCCCCCGGGGGGGGGGGGGCCTTCCAGGGGGGGGGGTCTTCTTATTCTTA